GAAAAGCAGCTTTCTCCCAGAGGCCATTGTTCCTTTGCTGAGCCCTTCCCCTGCATGTGAAGGCAGCGCCATATCTGAGTCTCCATCAACCTGACTAACACTATTTGCCCTGCCCTGTGATTTCCTGAGACCCCGCCCCACCCAAACTGTAGGCTTAGCCAAGCAGCTTCCAGTGGCGTTTCCATTCAAATAGCCTAGCTTGGCTCATGCTTTGGACTTTCCTAAAATCTCTCAAAGGTTCACAAACCCCAAACAAGCATCACATGGCCTCAGCAAGCCCTGTACCACTTGCTAAGAATCCCTAAGCCTGGGACTGGCAGCAGCAGGCCTCAGTTCACAGCTTGGCCTCTCCCAGGCACTTTCAAGCTCAGCTCAGGTGGCAACCATCTGTGGGTCACTTTGTAGCTCACACCAGGTGGCCCAGGGCAGGGCATAGGAGCCACTGACTGTGGCCGGAAACTCCCAAGAGGCCCCAGAACCAACACGCTCAGTGGCCAGCATCAGATCACACCAGAGCACCACCCAGCCACCTCCACAAACGATACACCCAAGGGACAGACTCAGCAGACACTAGAGATCCCCTAAAGTGAATCCTGCTCCATAGGCTCAGCCCCTGCACAAAAGCTCACCTACTGCAATCATAAGCAGACCTCACAACAAATCAGCCTGAGGTTCTATCCCTCCCACTGACATACCAACAGTAACCAAGGCTCAACCACAATAGGAAAGCACACAGAGCACACACAAAAGACACACCTGGTGCACCTGATTCAGGTGACCAGTGAGACTACACTACTGTGCCACACAGGACACCTACTGTATGAGGCCACTCTAACCAAGACCAGGAGACATAGCAGCTCTAATACATAGAAACATGCCCTGACAGGTGTGGCTCAGTTGGGTGAGGGCTATCCCATGTACCAAAAGGTCACCAGTTCAATTCCTAGTGAGGGTACATGCCCAGCTTGTGTGCTCAATCCCTGGTCGGGTGCATGAAGGAGGAAGCCAATCTATGTTTCTCTCTCACATCAATGTTTCTCTCTCTCTAAAAATTAATTAAAACGTATTTTTTTTAAAAAGAAACAAACACAGGGAGGCAACCACAATGAGGAGTAAAAGAAACATGTCCCAAATGAAAGAACAGAACAAAACTTCAGAAAAAGAACTAAACAAAATGGAGACAAGCAATTTATCAGATGCAGAGTTCAAAACACTGGTTATAAGGATGCTCAGTGAAGTTAGGAAAAGAGTAGATGAACTTAGTCAGATCTTCAACAAAGAGATAGAAAACATAAACAAGAACCAATCAGAATGAAGAATATAATAACTGAAATGAAGAATACATTAGATGAAATCAACAGTAGATTAGATGAAGCAGAGGATCGAATCAGTGATTTGGTAGAAAAGGTAGAAGAAAACACCCAGAACAACAAAAAGAAAAAAGAATCCAAAAATGTGAGAATAGTTTAAAGGCCTCTGGGACAACATCAAGCGTACCAATATTTGCATGATAAGGGAACCAGAAGGAGAAGATAAAGAGCAAGGAATTGAAAACCTTTTGAAGAAATAATGCTGGAAAACTTCCCTAACATGGTGAAGGAAATAGACATACAAGCCCAGAAAGTGCAGAGTCCCAAACAAGATTAATCCAAAAAGCCCACACCAACACACATCATAATTAAAATGCCAAAGGTTAAGGACAAAGAGAGAATCTTAAAAGCAGCAAGAGAAAAGCAGTTAGTTATCTACAAGGGAGCTCCCATAAGGCTGTCAGCCTATTTCTCAATAGAAACTTTGTAGGCCAGAGGGATTGGCATGAAATATCCAAAGTCATGAAAAACATGGATCTACAACCAAGATCAGTCTATCCAGCAAGAATATCATTATATGTAAGACAAATGCCATATGATTTCACTTATGTATAGAATCTAAAAGAAAAAATAAACAAACAAACAAAACAGAAACAAACTCTGAGGTACAGAGAACATTTTGAAAAATGGGAGGGGAGTTGGAGGAATGGATGAAAAAGGGGAAGGAATTGAAAAGTACAGATTGGTATTTACCCAATAGTCATGAGGATGTAAAGTATAGCATAGGGAATATAGTCAATAATCCTATATAATAAAGAGGTAATATGCAAATTGACCATCACTTGAACACACAAGATGGCCACCCACATGTTGTCAAAGATGGCCACCACAAGATGGCCTGCAGTAGAGGGCAGTTAAGGGCGACCAGGATGGCAGGGGAGCAGTTAGGTGTCGATGAGGCTGGCAGGGGAGTGGTCAGGGGCAATCAAGTAGGCAAGCAGGCAGGCAAGTGGTTGGGAGCCAGCAATCCTGGATTGTGAGAGGGATATCCGACTGCCCGTTTAGTGGGATCGGGCCTAAACAGGCAGTTGGACATCTCTCAAGGAGTCCCAGATTAGAGAGGGTGCACGCTGGGCTGAGGGACATCTCCCCACCCCTCTGTGCATGAATTTCGTGCACTGGGCCTCTAGTATTATAATAACTATATATGGTGTCAGATGGGTACTAGATTCATCAGGATGATCATGTCATAAGATAACTACATGTCTAATCACTATGTTATACATCTGAAACTAATATAATATTGTATGTCAAGTATAACTGAAAAATAAAAATCTGTTATAATAATGCTATTAATTTACTGGGCTACAAAGCCAGGGGCCTTGCTGCCCCTCCCCCCCAATCCCAGATTGGGGGGGATCTCCTGACTCCCCAATTTTGGATTCAGTCTGTTATGAAATTCTCTTTGTCCATACACCTGGTAAAGTCAGTGATTCTTGGGAGAAGCTATCTGTCTCTGATTTGTTTTGGGATGTGGAAATTAGACCGTCTCAATTCACAGAGTGCCAAGGTGAAGGTGTGGGCCTATGACACAAAGGGACAGGGAGCTGTTTGGGCCCACTTTGCTTCCAAGCCTTAAGAGTTACTCATTAGGCATGATCCTCATGGCTTCACACCATCTAGTCTAGGTCAGCAATGGTAAGGCTTCACAATGGAGTTTCTGTCCAGATCCAAGCTAGAAATAAAGTGTTTCTTGGGCCAGTGTTGTCATGTGCTTGTGATTTTCACTTGGGAAAAGGGGAATTATGAAGGAGGTGCTGTTGGGATATGATTCAGGAGTTTGGCTACCTGCCATTATTCAGCTTATTTCCCTCTAGAGACCTGAGTCATACCAAGGTCACAGAGAGGACTCGATGAAATGACATACATCCTGGTTCGTCCCCAGACCATCCTGCTTTACACCATTTTCCCAGTATCCTGTCCAGTTTAGAAACTGACATGCCCCTAAATATTCCTGTTTGGATATGTTATATGATCAACCATTTAGGACTAAAGCCCAGGCCTTCTTTTAAACCAATGCCTTTTCTACTTCTCTGGGCTGTTGCTTATTTGTTTTTATGCTATTTTCAGGGCCTCTGCAGCAAAAACTTATCACCACCGCTCAAAGCACATGAAGTTAATAATGTAGGAATAGCATTAACATCTCTGTTTGCAAATTATTAAAAAGATGATCAGAAAAAAAGATAGACCTCAATACAATTTGATCAAATAAAAATCAAAACACTTTTGCATCCTATTGGTATTTAAAATCTTCACCATGTCTTCTAAAATTTTAGATATTTTTATGTTGCTGATTTCCTGTACGTTTTATTTTGACTTGGAAATATTTGCAGATTTTATACAGTCTGATGCCTTCCTTTCCAAGTTTCTCTCCCACAATATTGTGTCCCTATAGTTCATTCTGGAAGTCACATCAAAGATCTTCCTTAATACGTGTCACTTCCAATTTAGTTAATGTTTCCTTTAAAATCTCCCATTTGTTGGGTAATAGGAAACTTTGATACTGAAAACAGTTAATCTAAGTGCATTTTATTAGGGGCATGTTAAGGTCAGGCACTCAATGGAGAAGTGTTTCACACTAACAGATATTTCAAAGCTCCTGACAAGATCCATTCTGAATGAAGGCAGAAAAGGACAGAACACGTGGGAATTGTGCTACAAGGACCAACAATACAGGAAATAGTGGAATGATATTGTTCCCTAAAAAGACCCTTGAAACTCAAAGTTCTTACTTAGGTCTCATAGTTGTAGTGTGTCATCATCCAGGGCTTGGAACTTAAACCTCAAGTTTAATGAAATAGAGCAATTTATGTTGCCTCTTACTTTACTATAATGCTTATATTTCAAAAATTGTCAGTTTATAGTTAGTATTCTTTTTAATGGAACCAAGCATTTCACTCCAGCTCTCTCTCTAACCCCAAATTCCTGTGTATAATACCTTCAATTGTAATAAACCACCTATTGGGTAAATACAGGGTCTTATTTAGGAATTTTGATTCTGTTTTAATTTATGTGTGTCCTATGTGGTGCCTTAATGACCGCGAAGAATGGAGAATGCTGTATCTAGGTCATGTGGCATTGTGCCTAGAAGCACTCATAGCCAGCACACTCCCTAAAGGCAGTTGACTCTTGGTGGCTTCCAGAGAGGACTGTAGTCATCTGCAGTTGTCCTAGAATGATCATCATCTTTATATGTTAAAACCATGCTTCCCAGAAAAATACATCATGTCAAAGCAAAGCCTCCTCCTTCTACTGGGGAAGCTTCAGAACCCAGAGAGGGTGTAGCTGCAAGGTGTAGAGAGATGACTTTTTGTATCAGGAATAATCCTAGTGTGCTGTAGTACTGTAGGTCCCTCAGTTCATGTCTCACTGATGCACATTGGTAGGGACGAAGGCCACAGAAATGTTATCTCTGGGGCCTGATAGATGGAGACTAAACACTGAGGATAGGAGGAGGTCTAATTCAAGTACTGGGTGCTCTAGTAGGTTAGAGTTCTTTGATTTCACACACACACACACACACACACACACACACACACACACACACGTGTGTAAAATTATCTCAGCTATGACAGCCACTCTTGTGTGGGTATGAACTACCTTTTTCAAAATATTTGTTAGCATCCTTACCTGATCGGCAACTTTCCATATTTCTTCATCATTCCACTGTTCATAGGGATCCAAGTTTTTTCTAAATGTTCCAGAGAAGATAAATACTTTCTATAGCAATAAGAAAACCAAGAGGAAAGCATGAATAACCTAAACATATTTTTATTTTTTTGCACATTTTATTGTAAAATATTTCAAGCAAAAAACATTTTAAAATAATGTAACACCCACCCATGTACTTACCATCTAGTTTTCTTCAGTTTTTAAACTTTTATATTTCCTTTGTATGTTTTTAAGAAATAAAATATAGCTACATTTGAAGCCCCTTATAAACATGTTTCTTATCCCAATGTCCACAAGATAAAGAAATTAAGATCACTGTAAACTGTGGAAAATTAAATGTTTTATTCCTAGCAATATTTCTTATAAGTAAGTATAATATTAAATTAATAGTCAAAGATTATAAGATTATGAGTCACAATGGTTTGAACAAATTTCTGTTTTATATTAATGTATTTTCCTTGAATTTCTATTATAAACGTAGCTCCCTATGGGATTTTGAAATTAAATTACAGCTACTTATTTAAACATCCATGTTAATCTGGTCTATAAAAACAAGGCACATCTCTACTTCCCAAACCAGTCAGGCACAGGGGAATTCACTTAGAAATCAGTGAAAGCGCAGAAATTAAGTATTTGTTTAACCGGATGCACGTTACAGAGGGAAGGGAGGGAGGCTGAGGTTGATGCTGCTGAAGTAACACAATGACAATCTCATTCCCTGCATGGAGCACTGCTCATTGTCACCCTAGACCAGTGATGGCGAACCTTTTGAGCTTGGCGTGTCAGCATTTTGAAAAACCCTAACCTAACTCTGGTGCCCTGTCACATATAGAAATTTTTTGATATTTGCAACCATAGTAAAACAAAGACTTATATTTTTGATATTTATTTTATATATTTAAATGGCATTTAACAAAGAAAAATCAACCAAAAAAATGTCATAGGTTCGCCATCACTGCCCTAGACACTCTACTTGCCACGTCAGTCACTGTCTACTAAGGTCGACCTATATGATTGAAAAAATGTCTTAAAATAAATTTTCTATCTCATTGGGGAATGCTGATACAAAAATAATATTTAGTTTTCTCTTTGTGCCTATGGGTGAACTGAAAAATATTTTTGATACTGACGTTCAGAATAATTTTTTGCTTTGCCTTTTTGGTTTTGCTTTTGGTTAGTCCAAAATTCATCCAGAAAGGAGAATTAAGAACTGAATTTCTTAAAGGCTTAATTTTCACAAATTGCTTGAGACTGAGAGAGAATGCTCAGTGCCAACCTGATCTGTAAGGAAATGCACAAGGTAAGATGCCTACAGATTGATGCTATCTGTGCCTCTCAGGCAGAATTCAAATATCCTCACCATGGCAGCCAAAGTCAAGGGGAGATATATTAGAGACCTTATTCCCCAGGGCATAATTTATGGCTTAAAAAACAAAGGTGTTGCTAAATATCTCAGGAACTCTCTAGAGCACCCCCCCCCCAAAAAAAAAAACCCCTTGTCTGCTATTACTTAACTTCCTAGGGATGTGTACCTTGCATTACAGAAGTGGATATAAGAGTTGGCTAGATGACTCATCAGATGATAAGATGTGTAAGAAGTATATCTGTGCAATCTCCTCCAAGCTGCTAAGTAAATGAATGCAATATCCAAATAAGCCAAAGAGAGCAGACAAAGATAATTCTGATAAACTAAGGATAAAGAAAGAGGAAGTGACTCTGAGAACTTGAGTCAATTCATTATTTAAGAAATTTGGTTTAGTTAGTATCTAAAGTTCAAAGACTTGCCAATGGAATTTTGCCATTTACTATTTTTTACATTTTTCTATGGGAAATAACAACCATGGGGGGGGGGGGGGGGGGACAAAAAAAAGACAATTATGTGCTTCAGAAAAGTTATCTCCACTGGGAACTAAGTGGCTGGAAAACAGAAGCCTGGCTTATGGCAGGCTTACCGGGTGCCAGGTAAGGCTCTTTACATGTGGCATCTCTTTTTCTTCATATCAGCCTAATGATAGATCCTATTATTGCACATGAAGAAATCACAGCAGGGAAAATGGAAGTGACTTTTCCAAGGTCACTTAGCTAGCAGGACCCAAGGGTATTTGTCTTCAAACCTGAGCTCTTTACCACCATAGCAAAACACCTCAAGTCTTATGGGGACCAATTTTTTTTCCAGGAAAAGATTAAAGATTGGGCAGGATCCCAACAGCACTCAGTAGTATAGTCTTGATTACAGCACTGCCATCCATGCCCCTGGCCACAGCTCAGGTCCTGCACTGTCAGTGGAGAGGTTAGCTTCCTCTTCCTATGCAGGATCTGAGTCGAAGGGTTTATATGGGCTACAGGGTCCTTGTAAGTTTCAAGAGGACTTACATATCCAATGGAACAAGACAATAGAATTTTTTACTGCAGACAAATGAAATAGTGCCATTGCTCTGGACAACCATGGGTAGAGGCCAAAGGTATCATAACATCAAACCAAACACAGAAGTTATTAAAGGTAATGTAGTTTGCAAAGATGGTATATAATATAGCTCTGACCTGGTGGGTATATCTATAATAATAAAAGCATAACATGCTAATTAGACCGGACATCCTTCCAGACATCCTTCCGGAATGAAGCTGGGGCTGCAGCCTCGGGATCCAGGCAGCCACCAGCAGCTGAGAGGGAGGGATCTAGGCAGCCGCCTGCAACTGCAAGGGAGGGATTGAGGCAGCCACTGCGGCTGTGAAGGCCTACTCTTGCATGAATTTCATGCACTGGGCCTCTAGTCTATAAATAAGAACCCAAGTTCTTTGAGCCTCAGTGTTCTCATTGTAAAATGGAAAATGACATCTTTCTTCTCAAATCTACTCTACTTCTAGGTTTTCCATTTCAATTCATAGCACCTTCATTTCCTCAATGCAGAAACTTGGGAATCATCAAAGACTTAATTTTCTCCCTCATCTTCCTGAATGGAATCAATCATCAGACCTGTGAATTGGTTTCTCAAAAATATATCTCAAATCTATTTATGTTTTTTAAATCTCTACTGCTATTACATAGTTCAAGCCATCAAGACATCTCTCTCTGGAAGATGGCAAGAACCTCCTAATTGGTCTCTTTCCTTTCACTCTTGCCTCCCTTCCCAGTTCACTCTCATTTAATGACCAAAGCAGTTACTACGGTATAAATTGGATTATGTCTTCCACTTTTTGAAAAGCTTTCAGTTGTTTTCTATTGCACTCAGGGAAAATGTAAAATCTTTAAGATGGTCAACAGACACTATCAAATTTAGTCCCTTCTACTTCTTCTGGACATTTAGTGATCTTCTCCCCACCCTGCCCTTTTTCACTCCAGCCACATACTCAGTGAGCATTAAAATTATATTATGCATTTGTGATCATTTTTGTAATGTTCATCTCTTCCACACTATAACTTTACTGTATACCCTGTCATTAACTCAAAGGCTTTGTATATAGTATATGCTCAATAAATGTTTCCTGAATAAATAAATGGGCTGATTTCAAGATAAAAAGTAAAAATATAAAAATACTAGAGGCCCTGCACAGGTAGGGTCTTTAGGCCTGGCTGGCGATCAGGGCCTTCCGGCCTCCAGCCTCTGGCCAGGGCCTTCCTTTGCTCAGCACCGCCCCTCGTGGTCAGAGTATGTCATAGCAAGAGATCAAATTCCCGGTCTCCCAGTTGAACTCCCAAGGGGACACTTTGTATATTAGCCTTTTATATATGTAGATAGTCAGAGTTCGGCACATATTATTTTTATTCTTTTGGTAAGAATAAGTCCCAAAAACCTATAGTCTTTAAAGAAATAATACTAACAACCCATTAAAACTTTAATATCTTTATATAATTACTTGGGAAATAGTATGCCTAGCTTTTCCTAATGGCCTAATAATTTATATATAATATTTATCAAATGTATAGCAATATCTAATAATTTATTTCAAATAGGTATATATTCAAAATTATGAAGGAAGAAAGCCGTTTATTAAAATTAGACATCCAAAAGTTTTAGATGTAGTGGATTCAATACCATTCAGAAGTTCTGTAAGTCTTTTGCTTACAGTATATTGTCTAGCATTAAGGTAATACTTTAATTTTAAAGAAAAATTAACTGAATGAACTAGTTCAGTTAAAATTCAATTTCATACAATTATTCAAACATTTCATTCCTGTGTTACAAATAGTGTCTGGCACTCTCTTGCTTCCAGGGTGGCAGTAGGTGTTTAGTTCTGTTTTCTAAACTGTGTGAAGTTTCCACAAACTCATCTCTAAAGCTGAGCGATCAATTACATCCTTTTCCCTGACTTACACATGAAATAGCCAAGACCCTGAGAAGTCATGTGGCTTGGCCAAGGTGACACCGTCAGGCTTATTGAACAACGAAATATATCCCTGAAGGTATAAGTCACAATGATCCTCTATCTCTCTTTTAGGAAACTGTTCACCATAGGAAAATGAAGATGTACAAATATTTGATATTTATTCAATGTCCTGTACATAAGGCATAAAGAGTAATTCTTGGGACTCAAGGAAAAAATGAGAGCACCAATGTTCATTGCCTAACTAATCTCTTTCCTGAAACAGCCAAGCCTACGTGGAGTGCTCCGAGTTGGTAGTACTAGTATTTCACTGTAATAGATGCTTCAAGCCTTGGATATCAAGTGAAAAACAAAAAAGCAATTTGGATTCTGTGATAACTGAATGTAGAATAAATTAAATGAGTCAGAGAAATGACTCCTATCCTTGAAGATATAGTGCTTTTTTTTAAAAAAAAAAAAGATTTTTCATTGATTTTTAGAGAGAGAGGAAGGGAGGGGAGAAAGAGAGAGAGAGATTGATGTGAGAGTGAAACATTGATTGCCTCTTGCATGTCCCCTACCATGGATAAAGCCCACAACCTGGGCATGTGCCCTAACCAGGATTGAACCAGCAACTTTTCAGTGCATGGGACATAGCCCAAACAACTGAGCCACACTGGCCAGGGCAAGGATATAGTGCTTTTTTGTTTTGGCTCAGAATATATACAGGGTTGGGAAAAAGCAGT